TTATGAAGTTGAAGGAGCCTCGGCGCGTCACAACTGGACGCCACGGGACCCTGACCAAGCGTCGCTCCTGGACGCTTAGGGAGTGAGAGTGTGTTCAGAGACAATAAGTTATGTTGTGGCTTTTCTGTTGGCTTCCATCATGGAGGCTAGAGCCAGTGGAATCACCATAGTGGATATTTGAAAACAGTCTTCATTAGTCATACTTTGTCCGTTCTTCTCCACTTGAGGGTTGAGCAAATAAGATTGATTGATTTAATTTCCCTTTCCTCTCGCGAATGGCCGACAAATTGGCAAAAATGTGCATATGCCAGCAAAGATGTAGTGCTTTCCAGGAAATCCCGATACGGAAACACGGAACGTGTAACGTGAAACGTGCCAACTAAAACATTACCTATCAAATTTTTTTATTGGCTTGTTTAATATATATAATGAACAGATTCACAAGTTTAGAAGCTTTAATGTGTTAGTAAAGTTGTAAGATGAAAACACAAAGTCCATGCAAACCGGACACCACAGGGTAGAGATCTGTCAATCATAAGGTATAGCCCTAAATCATACACTGTTTATCATCTGTATATTACTTTAGATGGGTTTGTAATTCACAAAATGAATAGGGATTGAGACCATAAACTGATTAGGAAAATGTTTAATTACAATAGCTTATAAATCAACTGGGATGTAGGATAATCTTTTCATAGACGCACTCCGCTCTGCATCAGCCAAACAGCTCGCTGCACCCGCACTGCGAGGGGGACCCAAGTTCCCATCAGCAAAAACACGTGGGTTTGCTATCCTGGCTCCAAAATGGTGGAATGAGCTCCCCATTGACATCAGGACAGCAGAATTAAAGCTTACATATCTTCCGGCGCAGACTGAAAACTCATCTCTTTCGACTCCACTTCGAGCGATAGAATTATTAACAAAGCACTTATATACTAATAAAGGACTGGCTTATCTAAAGCCAGTTGAGTAGCACTTGAAATGTTTTTGCTCTATGAAACCTGATGTACTTTTATGATTCTGTTTTCTTCAAGTTTGTATCTTGTTGGTCGAACGCACTTATTGTAAGTCGCTTTGGATAAAAGCGTCAGCTAAATGCAATGTAATGTAATGTCATGTAATGTAATAGACTTCTATAGAAAGTGACTTATTTTTGCAACCAAAACTTTTATAGTTTGAACGTAATGTGATGTAAATGTAGCTTGTCAGTAATCAGCTAACATGGGAGGGTCATTAGCTGATTAAGCCATGCAGCTTTATAGCATTGTTTTCAGAATAAAAATACATTGACTCCCTAATTGTCCCATTCCCTGAGCCAGTTTGTCACAAAAGTGATTCTGACTCCTTCTTCTGTTCGATTGTTGATGCATCCTCATTACCTGAGGCAATTTTAATAGGTGATTCAAAAAAATATAATTGTTCCGTTAGTAACAAGAACTTAAGCTCAAAATGTGTAAGAAAACCCTCAGAGCTTATTCTTTTAGATATTATATTGGAGGTTGCAGAACACATTTGACTCACTTGCCTTATTGAGCCCATTAACCTGTTAAGCCCGAAGGTCCCAGCCGGCGGGGACCCTGTTTTTTTTTTTCACGACACTGTGTCTCAGGGTATCTTAATATTTAAAAACCTATTAATGTGTTATACCAGATTAACGAGAAGAATCTCAGCTAACTAACTATACGAACCATTTTTACCGAAACAAAACACAAGTCTCACAAGAAGCGTTAGCATTAGCCCTTAGCTAAAACGGGCAGATGCTACTTCCGGTGCTAACTAGCAAAAACGATCTTTAAAACTTAATATTTTCTGCACAAACTACATATCATCTGAAAGCTGATACTCCACAGATTATTTTGTTATAAGTATCATCACTGTAGGAAACAAACTCACTGAGATATCAGCCAGAACAGAGAAGAAAAAAACAACTGTTTTCAAAACCATAACAATAATTATGTTTTACCGTTGCTGTTTTGTGATCAAAGCTCTTGTTCAAGGGAATAAAAACGCTGTTTAAGGTTCATCCAATGTCTATTAGTCACTTTAGAATTGTTCCTGATAATCTATCATTACATTCATGGCAGCAGAGTAGGTAAAAAGTTTCGCAGTCCCGAGCTAATGCTGTCTCACATGCTGTTTACGCAAACCTCTCTCTACTTGACGTAAGTGTTTAGCGGGACTTACTAACTGTCACTCGATTATATTGGCTCTAACGGTTCAGAAAAGGTGTCAATCACCGAAATCGACCAATGGGTTCCAAAGATATGATCCTGCGTAGTATAAACTACGCCCGCTCCGGCTTCATTACGCATTACGCAGCCAGAAGGGAGAGTTTCACCACTGAGGCGAGCAGGTGCTAGAGATGCTAGCTGACGATAGCTCATACCAGATGACTCGTCGTCGGATGATGAAGATCTCCTCCAGCCAGACCAGGATCCGGACAGTAGTGACTCGGATGTTGAACTTCCACCACGGGAAAGGAATGTAATCTCTCTGTTTTTATATATTACTTATGTGTTTGGTGGAACTACGTCACAGTGCTAGCTTAGCCAAGAAGCTACAGGAATGATTAGGCAAAATGCTAAATAGTGTTACTTGTCTTTTTGGAGTTACATTTTCTAAATGAATGGCCAGTGAATGAATATACATGTGTTTACTTATTTATTTGGTGTAATATTATTCATTTATAGTCCAATATTATCCTATAAGTATAAGCCAGTGAATTAATCTAATCTCTTTGTTTTTCCACATTTGTTAGATGAGGAGTGACCCCAGCAGGACAAAGCCACACACCCAGAAGACTTTCAGGGAGCAGCTTGCTGCAGAATTGTTGGAGTTTGCTGAAGGCCCTGCTGAAGGCCCTGCACCTCCACCTCCACCACCCCCTCCTCCACCACTCACATGCATGTCCGAGTATTATGGGGAAGATGCCACCAAGGTCAGGAAGAACTGCAGGAGTTGCCTAGATGCTGGACTCAAAAGGGTGAAGACACCTGTGTACTGCAGGAAGTGCCAGGTTCCTCTGTGCTTCACTGTCAAAAAGAACTGTTTCAGGGAGTGGCATGACCTAAATACTGGAACATTCAGGTAGGTATAAAGTTCAGGTAGGTATAACGTTTTGCGAGTGTTTATTTAAAAAAAAATACTTAAATATTTGTTGTTTTTACAAACCTACAGTGTGTTGGTAAAATGTTTGAAATACATCTGCCCCAGTTGGTGTCAAATGTTACCTATGTTTCTGTTTTTTTTTTATTGTGCAAGTACACCTACACACAATGACCTACAGTGTGGTTTTATTGTATAGTGCGTTGGTACAGTTACATACACACAGCTACACTTACACATACACACCTACACATACCCACACAGCTACACACACCTACACATACAGTACCCACACAGCTACACTTACACACACTTACACACACACACACACACACACACACACACACACACACACACACACACACACACACACACACACACACACACACACACACACACACACACACACACACACACACACACAAACATATTTAAAAAAAAATAATATATATATATATATATATATATATACATTTTTTTTTTTTTTTGGGTGGAATGAATACCTATAGTGATTATTCAATGTAATACAATAATTGTTATAGTCTGGTACCTGAAAAAGGTCAAATGGCACTGATAAAACTAAATGTGCCCAAATGTGCCCAAAGCTTATTCCGCCTGGACTTTATTTTCATAAACCTCTCTAAAAAGGGCAAATGTCACTTGTTTTGCCTCAATCTTGATACAGGGTACTTATTATATGTTATACTTTGGATTCCTAAAGCTTTTAGGCTACTAACCCATCATTCAAGGTTGGTCTTCACTATAAGTAATGGGTTTTCTAGGCGGAGACAGGAATTTACATTTTTTTGCTATGTTCCATCTGAATTTACTCTGACACAGAAAAATCTATATATTGATTCTGAGACTTCTACATCGAACTCACAGATGTAACCTTGCTTTGATAACAACAATTATTCATATAAACCTTTTAGAAGTGAAGTTATAGTCATTTGTTCTGGGAATGTCATTTTCGAGCCTGAAACCTGAAAAACAGGCTCGGGGTTTAACAGGTTAAAGTTGACACATGTCAATTTCTTCAAGTTTTCAGCCCAAAGACAGACTCACCCACACACACATTGATTACTTTTTTTTCTTGACCTTTAAATGTCAAGAAAACCACATAGTCTACTTCTGTTAAAAGGTACAATGTTTCATTCTGCTGTGTTACTACATTTCAAGGAAAAATCTAATTTCTCACAATGACTAATTTCATAAGAAACTGGAAGTCCAGACCTTCCTGTTCCTGAAGCAGCACAACGCACTTGTGCACTTTATTTCCACAGCCCTTAAGTAATAATAAAAAAGCTACAACAGGAAACTGTAAGCACTGAAAATCCTTTGTTGGACATCACAAAGTTGAAAACCTCTAATGCTTTTAATATATAGTGACTTTTAACTGTATATATGTACTCACTTTCTCATGTTGAATACCCTGCCCTTTCTTATCTTAAATGCTGAACATGATTGAATATAAGAGACCAGAAGCACTACTTATAAATAACCATACTGTATATTAATTTAGTCACTTTGTAGGATGTAGTGTTGAGTCTTGCCAAAAACTGCACTGCAGTTGCTTCTTCACAACAGTGAAAATAAGTCTTTGGCCAAGCAGAACTTGGCAAAGCCTTTATGTTTCCATGCTTATGCAATGGGGTATTGCTTCAAACATACAACAGACAATCATTACGAAAGCATCCCATTAATTTTTCTAATGCTATGTTTTAGGATCTATTTCTATTTCAAGTGTGTTGCTGTCTTTTTTGTATAAACAGCATGGCCACATTTCACAAAGCACGAAATGCTGTAATGGGAAAAACGAGGGACCAGGAACAGGTGTGTGTGTGTGTGTGTGTATGATAGGGTTTGAGTGTGTGCGTTACAAAATATTTTCGCTGTCACAGTTCCAAGAAAGAAACCTAAATAATTTAATTTAGTTCAAATCACTAACATTTTAACAAGCACTTCAACACGGCAACAAACATTGTACTCAAATAGTGACATTTAACAATAAATAAACCATTGCTTGACTTTTAAGTTCAATTAACTAGTATCTCCTAAGAATACATTCAAACAACGTGCTTTGAAAGGCAACAATAAGCATATTCGCAGGCTATACAAGAGGATTTAACATCCCATCATGCAAGGTGAAACATCCAATCTCTATAATAATTCAACTCAAGTAGTTTATTACATTAAATCACAACTCTTGACACGTCAGTGCTGTAAGAATTTGGTTTAGACTAAGAGAACGACCAGTAGTCGTGTGCTGAGGAAGTAAATTAGAAACCACTGGCTGTAAAAGGGAACTTCTTAGTTTCTGTAGTGCAGAATTTTGTTGAGATTCCACACAAATAATGTGCATGATTACGTTTGTTAGCATACAAAATATATATTTGTTTTGGATTTCTATTTTTTCTATTATATTAATAAATGATAGGCAGCTTAAATATAAAGAAAATAAAGTCTGTATCAATTTTAAACCCCATATCTGTCCAATCTAAAAAAAAGTCTTCCTTTTAAAGTATCCCAGAATGCCTCTTGCAGAACTAAGTGGCCTTCTGCAACCCTTTACTAAAGGATGACAGATCACCACTGACTGTCCGCTTTGGATTTGTTGTCTCCCTTAGTGCTGTCATTAGATAATCGGTCTAATTTCTTTTTGGGACAGCTCATCCTGTGTCAGTGGCAGTTAAACACTCAGCTAAATACTCACTTCCACTCCCTCAGATACAAACACTCAACTAATGGAGTGTGACCGGTGCATCTCACATCCTCTATCTGAATCTGCACAGGAAACACCTCCGCAAAGAAGGCCAAAGGAGGTCCGCTGCACAGTTTGCTGACGCAGCTCCACAGTCAAAGCGGGCATCATGGCCTCACTGATTCATTCATTGTCAAAAGAGTTCAATTCCTCTGCGTACACAGACTTATCATCCAGTGCAAACACACACTGCAGGGTCATAATTGTTAAGGCTGCTTGCTGCTTCTTTTTGTAACACAGTCCTCAGATGATAAGGAGCCATTTACTTCTGTGGCAACGCCAAAGCCTCTGCATGTGTTCGTGTGGCACGCGGTGTTCAACCCTTCTCCCTTCTTTGTTGTTGGCCCTTCCTCCTGAAGGAGCTCAAACATTTCCAGTTATGGGTTTTTAAGTCCGTTCTCTTCTTCTCCCCTTGACCGAGTATTCATCCCTTTGTGGCGTCGGCGGAGAGGTTTTCCAGCAGAGTTCTATAAATGTCCGAGCGGAGGAACCGCGGGTACGAGTCTCTTTCCATCAGCCCGTAAACTATCTTCTGAGCATCGTCAAAGCAGTGCATGGTGGGAGTCTTGACGTTCCTTTTGATCTGCTCTCGGGTGTGATAGTCAATGTTGATCTGGAATGAGGCAGAGAGATAGGAATGAGGGGATTTGAGCCAAGAGCGAGGGATTTCAGGCTTATCATGTGAGCTGGCACTTTTTCCTTTTAATACTTTCAGTGCTCATTTATCTGATATAGCAGCATATAAGTTAAATATATGTTATAGTGTTTGTGTATGAATGTATGAAGATTGGTTGTACCTCTTTAGGAGATTCTGCTTTGATGAACTGCTCATGAATCTTCTTGGCTCTTGAGGACATTCTGAATGAAGACTTGATTTTCTTGTAGTCCTCACAGGTGAGCCAGAACTCAATATTCTCATCGCTGTACTCAGATTTGAGAAAGTTGCGAAAAGTGGCCAATCCATCTGTAAAAAAAAACACACAAGTGTTCTCCTTAAACTCTTATTCACCCAAATGTAATATTCAATTTGAACAGTATTCTCATCATGGAGGGAAAAGCAACCTACATTTAGAATCGAGAAGCCTTTCCAGTGACTGTGACCATTGTTGGGTATCTTCTAAACTTAGCCTGCTGGGAGAGAATGCAAGTTAGATTACTCAACCAGAATCAAATTTGGGTAAAATAAAACTTGGGGTGAACTATGAGGGCTACAAGGACGCAGAAGCAGTCTAATAAAAGGAAATCATAGCAGATGTGCTTATCAAATTCATGAAAAATGTCCAACCATGGGATATAGTTGTGTGCATGCGTCCTTTGCCAAAGCAAACATGGTGTCTCTAGTTCATTTGAATCCTTTCATGATGCCATAGATGGAAATGATAGGAGCAGGCTGGCTATTTTAAAACCGAAATGTATGCAAAACACTCCATAAGTCTCCTTACCTCTCGGAGCTTGATGAGTGTGAGAACATGCACTGCAGTCGGCACATAAAGTTCTTTCCGCTGTGTAGAGATAAGAAAGACATGAATACATCCCTATTGGATTTGCTGTTCAATTAGTTTCCAGTAAAGCATGTTGGGCATGTTAGTAATGAAAGGAGAGCATGTGGTACAGTTAGATAACATTATTAACTTATGCTATTTTCAGGAGATACCATTAGGGATCTATACAATTCCTGCTATAAAAGGGTTTGACGAGAGAACCGAATAAGCAAACCATCAATTATTAAAAACATATTCATTGTTTTTCATCAAGAACCAAGTCAGCGTATTTATTGGAAACCACCGGCAAAACTTTAACTCACATGTTCTTGTTTGTCTTCCTGTCATCTTGGTCCATGATGAAGTGTTGTGGTTCGTCGATTAGGCTGGGCATTGTGTTGTTAAGTCCACACTCTCAGGCTCTGGGTCCTGGTCATGCTGCGGCTGAGAGACACTTAGGAGGGTTCCCCCTGCGACGCAGCTTTTTATACCAAGGTTTCCTGTTGCTATGTACAGGGGCTGCTGGGATACATCAGCAGCTTAGCCCAGACTGAAGAGGAAGCACCCCATCCTCCTCCTTCTCCTCTCCTCCTACCTCCCTGTTAAAAACAACACATACTCACACTGCACTGCATGTACACCTCCCCCCTCTTGATGCCTTATACTCCCTATTATGTCTCTCTGCTTCCTTTTCCTTCTGCAGATCCTTCCCTCTCTTCCTGACTGGACGAGCATAACAGGCTGATGCTGTGTTCACATTATTGTTTGACTCGCAGCACAGATGCAAATGACAGTAACATTTTCCTGTGATAGGCAAATTGTGACCTTTGCACATTATGTATTTTGGTAGCCAAATGAAATTACAGGCATATTAATACAAATTGAAGGATTACTTTACTTTCTCCTTGAAATGTTGCCTTTGTGATAAAATGTTTTTAAGTTTAGTGATCCCACAATAAGAATTTCAAAAATGTGGCTTAAATTCATGCAACATAGGTGAGAAGAGGAAATGACAAATGCATTGCAACACAGATAGGAAGTCTGTATGTCACATAACCACAGTACGGAACATGTAATACTTACCTGCCAAACCCTTCTTATTGGCTCAAAAAGTAGGATGAAATCCTTATATGGAGATCAGAATAAACCAATCTTTGAGATGTATTTTTATAATACAAAGTATAACACATCTTCAAAGTAAAGGAAGGCTCTGAAAACCCTCAAATAGAAGACATGTTGCCAACAATCACATCCTCTAAGAGTAAGGTTTTCAGATTGACCGATCCATGGATTTAACATGTTAGACATTTTAAATATCTGTATTAACACATTCACAATAGGTTTTAATTTCTGAAAGGCTAATTCACCTTGATTTGAAGACATTATGTGAAATTGTGACATAAGGGCAGTATGGCCAACAAGGTGTTCTTATGAACCTGGATCCCAATGCCAATGTCATACACATTTGTCAGACAGCAGCCTTTTACATCTGAGCTTGTGAGTTGTTCAAGGGACTGGGAACAGACATGAGTCAAGAGAAATAACCCGCCTTGGCGAGAAATTCAGTTGTGGTGTGATAATTTGTTGTGAATTGGACGGTTTCCTGACAAGTGACTAGCAGCTGAAATAAGCATTAGTAGCACTGACCCTTGACATTTTCTGTTTCCTTCAAGTCAGTCAGGAAGTAGATACGCAAACTGAGGGACCAAAAATAAAGCTTGAGGAGTTTAATCCCAATGAAGTCTGAAACCTTTGTATAGCCAATTTATGAATGTCAAATTGTCCGTTTTTAGAAGGATAAAACCAAAATTGTCCAAAGACGTATCACCAATTATGACTTTGATTGAAGCTTTAGCTGGAGAAACTGCAATTTTGCAAAAACGACATGAGATCATGCAGGATTAAAGTCAAAGCTGGGGCTTAGGTGAGAAGAGTACAGTTTCTTACAATAGTATTACAACTAGGGCCGACTACTGAACCAACATAGCCCCAACAAAATGTGTCATTTAAGTCCAATAGCAATTATGTTAACATGGTAGCCTGGTTTTAAACGTTAGCAAAACAACTTGATCTGATTGACTATAGGCCTGAGAATCCAAAGCTGTGATGCTAGCAGTTTGTTTCCTTCTACTCAGAAGCATCATAGCATACTCCTAACAGATGTACGGTCACTTGGCGTAAAAATCATGCTTAAAGCTGATAATAAGTTTAGAAGGAAAGACTTCTAAACAAATGTAGAGACGTCTCCTCCCTCCCTGCTAAGCTTTGGCTAGAAGTGTGACAGAGCAGAGTCACACTATCTGCCTCTGACTTCACATTAGTCAGATGGGTTTTCTACACATTTAATTTTGCAATGTTTTTCCGCTCCTTCTTGCCCACGTAACACTGCAATTATCGTTCTTTTCCCCAACTTAATTTTAGTGAGTAAAGGCAGCCGGGATTACTGTTCATTTAGTTCACTCAGCCAGTTTTACAGGTCGACGCTCACACGATACTAAGAGGATCTGCTTTTCAGTAGATATGATTTCAAATGATCATATTAAGTAATTTTGTTCAGGATATAATTAAGTAAAGGTGAAACTAAACTGCTCGTTTAAATTGTCAATGACAAACCAAAAGGGGTTAATGTAATCCAGTGCTACTAGCTTTAATGCTGTTATGTTTAGTTCGCCTGCCAATAGTTATAATAGGCCTAGAGAAGATTCTGAAAGGAAAATAAGAGTGCTCAGAAGATAATTATAAATACTTCAAACCTCACTGATTGTATTTTTTTTACCAGTCTCTTCTGCCTCAGGCTACTCTGTTTTTGGCTGGCTTCACTGATGCTGCTCTCCCTCTTTTGCCCAAACACGGTTCTAGGTACTGAGGCGTTATGAAGAATCACCAAACACTGTGAACGCAAAGCTGTCCTTTTTATATTTTAATTTGTCTCAACACTTACTAAATTAGGAATACAGCATGCAGCATTTAGTGTATCAAGGCAGAACTGTTAGTGAAGTTCCCAAAGTGTGACTGACTTGACTAACACTGTGCCATCGACAGTACTCACTTCCTTTTTCTCTACCATGGTAACAGTTCTGGGTTATGAAAAAACACTGACAGATTGTGTGTGAAGGAAATCTGAGATCTTTATCAGGAACAACCCCTTGACATGATCCCAATGTACTAAGAGTTACTGACGTCTGAAAATAGCTGATAAAGCTGTTTATTTACATACCTGTAAATCGTTTTTTTCCCATGCAGAAATAGATACATTTTGTAGGAAAAAACTAATCTGCCATGTCACAAAATTATTAATACATTTGTTTTTTGTTTATCACAAAAAAACCTGTTGCAATACAATAGCCGTGGGGAACAACTTTAGCGTTATTAAAATCTTTCATGGTTATGCTTATTAGCTACATGAACTTGCCTAAGGTTAAGAAAGTGGTGGTGTTGGTCTTAGATAATTATAGAAGCCAACAGTGACTTCAAATCAAACCACAACCCCTTACTTTTCCTCTCAAAACCTATGGTAGAAACACAACTTAGTAGTAGATAAAGTGGTTTAGTGAGTGGCTATAGTTTTTATTAATTTAGGGTTAGAGGTTAGGGCTATTTATTTATTTAAGTCATGGAAAGGAACAATTACCATTGGTCCGAGACAGGGCTTACAATCACCTCCCCCCCATATACAATCATGAAACATCGGCCTCATAATTTATATACACAAACTGAATTTACTGACCAATGGGTTGAAAACAGTGAGGCTACAGTAAGTGGTCCTTGGTTTTAAGACAAAATATGTTGTTCATTCCTAGGAACTGCTGAAGGAATGGATACATTGGATGGAAATTGTATTATTTTGTCTTTTGAATATAGCTTGTACATTTCTTAAAAGGTACAGCACATGTCATTTGTGCTCTAATTCAAAGTTAACAGGGAGGGGAGATGGTAAAGGTTTAGAACACGAATATATCTTAAAGTGCAGGTTACACTTTTATCCATACCTTGTTGCTAAGATTGACCTATTCCCCCAAATTCTGAAATAATACAACATGGGCAAACAATGAAAATGACAACTATTACTCCTCGATACACTTCTTGGACGATACAAAAAATCAAGCTTCCAAAGCTTGAACCACAAAAAACACATTTTCAGTAAAATGTAAAAGCTTATTTTCCACTTTAATACTTTTATTTAAACAGTCAGGTCTTTTTCCAAAGTATACTTGTTTCATGGTATTTCTCCACGTAAAGCATCTGTGTATCTTTGCTATCATTGTCTGCGGGCTATGAGATTATTCCCCTAACAAGGCAGCACATTCAGCCTGATCTGTTACGCATCAGGTTGTCTTATGACTCCAGTGTTGTCGTTTAAGCCTCTGGAGTTATTATTAGCTGCCTCAGTACTCCTTTTTAAGGCACAATTCTGAGGAATAAGGCCATTTACAGAACTAAGTGAGATCAAGGGTTACTGCGGGGTTAGTTTTTTCCAGTTTGGTAAACCCTATTGCTGGTGTATAGAGTCATCCCTGTACCTCATTAAAGGATATATCAGACATGTGACCAACAACAGAATCTCCTCGCTGGGTGGAAACTGTTCTTTTTTCTTTTTTTTTTACTAATGCCCATCCGCACATGTCTAACTAGATAGATTTCAATCATTGTCTCAAAATCTGACTATATGGAAACAAGTCAGTACATTAACAACACAAAACATTAATTAGCAGTTATGGACGATGAAAGATAACGACTTATTTCTCTTGAATTGTAGCTAAAGATGGTAAAATGTTGTACAGCGTTTAATGAAAACTAGGTTGTTTCATATCAGACACCATGTTTATGTCATTCCTTTTCATTTGTATTTTGCTCTATAACTTACTAAAACTTTTCGTCGACACTTACAATATTTCCAACCAATCCATACTGATGCATACAAACAGCATTCTTTCTACCCCACTTGCATTTACTTCTTTTCCCACTCACATCACTTTTCTCTGCTCCTGCTTCAACGTCCTCCACAACATTTCGTCAATATACCATCTCAGTTTTGATGAAAGCTTCACATCTCGTACAATGTGAAATAACTTTTAAATTCAGCCAAATGGGAACAAAAACAAGGATTAGAAAAGCTGTTTTGATACAACCTTCTGAGCTAAATGTACCAGAGAGTCCTGGATTTGTTCTTTACACTCAGGTAGGCATCTGAGTGCAGGAATCTGGGGTAAGAGTCTCTTTCCATCAGCAGGTAAACATGTTTCTGAGCCTCATCAAAGCATGAAAGGCTTGGCTGCTCCAAAGTCTTCTTGATCTTCTCTCTAATGTGGTGGTCAACGTTGATCTGAGGAAGAGACACAAAGAAAAACAACTGTAAATTGTGTTGAATACAGGGCCATTCACACTAACTATACTTCACATAAACCAAGTGCTGTGGTTCAAGATTGTGATAACTATAAAAACAGACCATCTAAACATGGGCGGAGACATTTGGACTGGACAGAATAGATTTTTATCCATCCTCATCAACACCAAACAAAATAACCTAAAGGTATAATTGCAGTAGGAAGGTTTTGTACGATATGCGCATATTCTTTGGGGTCAGAGGATTATCATACTCAAACAGTACAATGATATATTACATGATATTAGTATTTCCTTTATAATTGATATCGACCACA